TATATCTTAGAGAGCAAGTGGGTTTGTTGCCTTTGTACATGATCTTAGCTTTAAGAAAGCACTTCTTTATTTTTCCAAAAAAAAAAAAAAATCTCCGAGCTTTCATTGGTGTGGTATGCATTCACCGATGGTGTCGGTTAATGGAAGTCAAACAATGTTGATGACTTTTGCAGCAAAATTTTCTCTAAGGAGTACCCGCGGTTTCCTGCTCGAACAAGTCTTTCATTTGTTTTTGAGCGAATTTGGGACTGATCAAAGAGGTGACGATTTTGAAGGAAACAGGTATACAATTACATTTATATCATTGGTTGGATACGCATTTGCGCCGATTTAGAATTAATTTTATATTAGTTCTAAATCATGCATGATTTGGTTATAGAACATGCTTAATTTTATGGATTCCATAACTCTAATTAATAATAATTGGCACATGTAGAGAGTTGGTCTATGTCTCTTATATATTACTCTAGATTCCGTTTTATTTTATATACAAAATTATCAATGATGCATTCATCGTTCAAGACTAACGATGGTTAGTTGGTATGCTTAGACGTGGATTCAGAGAACAATGTTGTTGCTTTGAACTCAATAGTATGCACCTTTTTACAAGAGTAATCCCTTATTAGAGGAAAGAGCCACTCCATCTCCACGTATAATGAAGAACTCTATATATTCCTCTCAACCTCAGGACACTAATCATCAACACGTAATGCACAAACTCATGCTACATAAAACATTATACAGATAAATTGCAGATAAGTTTTTGGGCAATGCTTAGCCCTGAGCTAGCCACATCCAAGTCCTTGTCCAATTCGACAAGGTAAGGTCTCCTTTCACTTTTTTCTGACTCATCTTCTTTCATTATTGTTTTGTCTGCTTGTCCTTATGTCATCAATCTTCTCCTTCTAGTCCATTACTGAAGCTCTGGAGAGCCAAGTGAAGACCAAGGTTTCAATCAAGGTGATCCAACAACATATCAACTTTCTCACAACTACTTTTAGGTGATTCAAGGTTTTTCTCTTCTTACATGTGAATGGCAATTACATGGTACAGGGGCACCTGCATACCTACAGATTCTGTGACAACGTCTGGACCTTCATATTACATGATGCAATGTTCAAGAATGATGATCGTCAGGAGAATGTGAGACGGGTCAAGATAGTGGCATGTGACTCTAAGCTGCTCACTCAGTGACATTGTAAAATTTATTATGCACTAATCCCTTTGTAATACATCTGAAGCCAGCTATATGTAAACTCGAGCTCAACCTTTTTTTTCTTTGACCTGTAAACTGCTATAGTTCAATGGAACTGATTGCCCTCAAAGCCATTCATTACTCTAAACTCTCCCTTTCTCTTAGCTCTCTTCCCTCTCCGTTTTTTCGATTATTTGTTGGATTTCTTTCTTCACCAAAGCACAAGAGAATAAGATTCCTGCAGGTTTCTTTCAGTTTGAAAGATAGCGGTTAATGTCCATTTTTGTTTCCTTCGTTTTAAAGTCACAGACCATATTTGGCACCTTTATGAGGTTGAAGTGAATGGATCATTCGGTGGCCGTGTAATTCTCCAATATAATGGAACCGAATCTTTTCTTTTCAATAGGAATATCTCTTATACAAAGTGGTTGGTGTTACTCTTAAGGTGTTCAAAATGACAGTAATGATCATTGCTAGAACTGAGATCATTCATAAATTTTTCATGTGGTGGAAGTTCACTTTTTACCTTTACTTTTAATGAATAGTATAGTATCCATGGCAACTTCTAAAGCCGCCCATTGTTTCCAGCTAGTCCAAGGGACGGAGCTTCAGGTCTGTTCTCTCATCTGTCCTGCTGGAATTTACAATATCGAATTTTGGACTTAAATCTTTGTATTAATTTAGATCACTGTCACTAGGTCGCCAAATGGAAGTAGTGTGAGAGCTGAGTTTCACCTAAAAAACTGCATGGGTTCTTCATTGGGGTTGTATTTACCAAGGAAATAAGTGAGTGATGATCTCTTTGATATGGGACCGGAAAGGCCGACCCCATAGCTCTGCAGGTGAACTGGTCCATCTAATATGTTTATTTAGTAAGTCTTTACTTGTTTTGCAACCCTGCTCTAGATTACGATTACTCATCTCTGTGTTGATTAGAGTTGAAAATGCGGTGCTGTCTCTCATTTCAGATAAGACTATGGCAATGCAATAAGAGAGCTCCAAGCTGAGCTGGCTAGAGGGATATCTTTAGATGACTTTCAGGCTAACTCTAAGAAAGCAGTAACCAGTGAGCCAAGGCAAACTATGAACTAATCGTATCCGCCAGAAGCATCATGTTGAGAAATGTCAGTGTGCAAGGTTCAGCCCTTGAAGATCTCATCAGGAGATCTGTAGGCCAAGATAATGTAGTTTCACAGAGATGCTTTCATGTCAGAGACTATGAAATCAAGGTTTGTAATACAGTTTTAAAAAGTCATTTTTATTTACATTATTGTCAGTGTTTTCTTAACAACATGTAGATAATTCACCATATTAATGGAGCTACATCTTTTCTAATCTTTGTTATAGTAGTTGATGTCTAGTTTCCCCGCTTTCTTTGTTACAACCTTTTCTTGTCTTTGTTATATATTTTGTAAGAGAAATAACAACTGCAGATCGATGATGTGATAATTAATTTGTGAAGTAAATATATAACTAGAGATAAATAAGAGGAACCAAAAACAACATCTCAAATAAAGTTAAAACTCCATTCTAAATTTGGTACTCTATGAAACCAAACCGAAATGGTAATGGATTAGCTTAGTCAAACATCAGAATCTAACTGCGGAGGTTCATACTTAGACATTCGTTTAAAGAATGCTGGATTAGATGCTGCTTCCCATAGATCAATTGCAATCCTGTTACGAGCTTGCATCGTTCAACAATTCCAAAGGTACTCGATGTATTTGATTGCATACACTCCACAATCAGTATTAGATTTATTGAGTCCACGAGGCACCATCACATGGTATGATAGAATATGGAGACAAATGCAGGTTTTTCCCATAAGCTTCTGTGTGAATTTCCTTCATAATAATGAATTTCCTTCATTAAAGGATCCCACACATGTGGTTGGCTTTGTTTTTCAAATACTTCAAATACTCGTACCTCAGTCGCATGCCAAACCCAAAATTCATGAAACCAACACGATCTAACTTCAATCGACCTAAAGATGTCTTCTCCCGAAATAAATACATTACAACATCCATATCCTAAAAATTATTTTAAGACTCGATTCTACATGTTTGATATGTTTTTAAAAAAAGTACAAATTTACTAACAGATAGAAGAGTTGTTCAACAAAGCAATGGGAAAGGAAGATTGTGACAGAAACAAAACCATGCCTTTCTTTGGGTTAAATTTATTCTATTGATGCATACATAACATAACTATGGGTCAGTCACACATGTGAAAGATTCTCAAAAGTCCAAAATCAAATCATCGTGAGGTCCAAACAGATAATAAAACAGCAAACGATGCAATCTACGATTACAATGACCACTTGCTAACTTTTTGCTAACGTAAAGAAAAAGACAATTAGATCAAAAGCTGTAATGCCATGATAATATGCAAGAAAAGTTTCAAAAATAAGCTTCCCTAATAGGAATTGTATATATTGTAACAAAATTTATTGCAATCAATGATAAGGTTACACAAACAATCAAACGAAACAAGGATTAACCAGAATTGTTCAATTTCACAAACATCGACCTGAGGAAGATCTTTTCCTCGAACAAGGAGAAGTCTGATTTTCTCTCAGCCTTGGGACACTAATCATCAAGACGTAATGCACATCAAACTTAAGCTACAGAAATATTATACAGACAAGCTTCCGGGGAATGCCGGCTTAACATCTGGTCGTTCAGCTAGCCAGCATCAGCTTTGAGCCGGATCATCTGATCCATCCATACCCATATATATTTTTGAACTGAATCTAGAACCCAGTATGTATAGCAGCTTGAGTCTAGTAATTTGAGTGATATCAAGAGCAATTTTCTCCAATTTCAAACACCTGAGACTGTTAATAGTCTCCACCTTGGACATTTATCGGCTATTCAAATCAAATTCTCCTGCTTCACGCCAGTTTTCTTGTTCAGCCGTCTCTCCATTCTCATTCTCCTCATCATTCAAGAAATCTTCTGAGGGTTCTTTTTCGTCTTTCTGGCTGTTGTTTCCCCATCCATTCATCACCTCATCGGGGTTCATGTTACGTCCCTGTTCTCCCATCTCATGGCTTAGCTGAATATTGCTGCCCTGATTCCCAACCGCATTAGCCCTCAATGGGTTACGAGCCATAATCTCGGCATGGGATTGTGACTGTCCTGCCTGAGCCAAAGCCGCCATTCGCAGCTTAGCCTCCTGGCCAGCTTTCTCCCTATCCATTTCTGCTTTCAGTTCAAACAACGCCTTTCTTTCTTCTTGTAGCAAAGCTTGTTCTACCATCAACCTTTCCTCAGATCTGAATTCTCCCATTGCTCTCTTTCGAGTAATTATGTTAAAGGCTAGGGCTTGCTTCTCAAACGTTGCCGTGAATTCAGCAACTTTAGCAGCAATGTTGTTATCCCACTGCTGAGAGCGGGATAGGGCCTGACCTGTTGGGTCTGAATCAAGGATTCTATCATCCTCTTCTGCTTCGTAATCTGCTACTACATGATAAGGCAATAACCTGAATAGGTTGTTGGAGAACACACATATGAGTAATGACCAGAACTAACCGTATGCAGAATGTTCAATCAAGGCAATGAATCTATCTAACAACTATATGGCGATGAACACTTTCAGCACCAAGCAATTAATACAGGTAATCTAAATGTCAAGGAATAATTACGATCTAGGGACTCAGTGGTTATGCTCAAAAAGGAATTTTGTCTAATTTTTGGCCGAGATTAACCTAATCAAAAGCTAATCGGGCAGAAATACGGCATTAAACTCAAAAAGGAAAGGAAATTCACATAAGCACCAAAGGTAACAGTATCTCTGATAGATGAGGAAAAATGTTTCGAGGTTAATGAATCTAACAAAAGAAATTATCCATCAAACAAGTATAGAAAATAGACACCTATTTAACCAGATGCAACATCAAGAACTCATGCTTCAATGTACAACTGCTAAAATCCAGTAAACAATCATGAATCATACCATTTTATTCTATATTCACACAGGATAAGAATTGAAACCCCAAAAAACTGTGACATAAACGAACATACGATCAATCAAAGCAATGTTTCATATCAAGAAACAAACCCATAAGCATAACAAGAAGTAACTGATTGCGAGAGCCCAAAATGAATTCAGATCTCTAATTTGATAATTGAATTGAGACTAGTAACCTTTCGCAAGCGTCTTCGAGAGAAGAGAAAGGTCGCTTGAAATCCGGATGACAAACACGCCAAGCGTCCTGATAAGCGAATTGTAACTCAATGTGATTCAACGGACGCATCAATTT